TATATATATATATATATATATATATATATATATACATCCATATATATATATTATACATCCATATATATATATATACATACATATACAGGGTTCAATGCTAAGGATTTTATCTACTGGGCCGATTGGCCAGTGCTTGATTTTTACTTGGCCTGTCAAAGTTTTTACTGGCCCCACCAAAAAAAAAAAGGTAATAGCTTTTTCTTAGTCTCATATTTTAAAGAATGTGGCAAGATAATGTCTGTAAATATACAGTTTACACATTTTAAAAATCTTATTAAATGTATAATGAGCAAAATTCAAGATTTTATGCAAATGAAAGAGCAGTCTGGGAAATGTGCTGGTATTTCATTGCAATTCCTAATTATTTTTAGAAAAATGACTCGCCAAACTGGCAATTTAAATTTTGTACCCATGTAATTGTCTGCTTCCAAGACTTTAGAAACAGACGTTTTCTTTAAGCCTCATAGTTTGATGTTGTCATCTTTTCGCTGTGCTGGTTGTTATCAGGTTACAGAAAAAAACTAACGTGCTCAATAGGGGTCAGTAACAATCCTGTCTACTGTCCCGAGCGTCTTTCACGCTGACCACGTCCTTATTGTTGAGCCCTGATATATATATATATATATATATATATATATATATATATATATATTCAGTCAATGTAAGAGCAGTGGTTTGAGTTCTGTTGTGGTTGGCATTAATTGCAGTCATCATGGTGGAAGCAGTGCCAGAGTCCATCCACTTCCCCACTGAGGAGGAGCAAATCCTGCAGTTCTGGCAGAAGAACGACTGTTTCCAGGAGTGTCTGAAGCAGTCAAAGAGCCGGCCCAGGTGAACAGCACGCACGCACACTTGCACATACATACATTCACACACACATATACGCACTCATACACTCGCAGGATTACACACATACACACACAAATGGCAGTGCACACACAGACATACACTCACACATACATGCATGCACACATACTTGCACACACATATGTACACACTA